CCTTCCTTCCTTCCTTCCTTCCTTCCTTCCTTCCTTCCTTCCTTCCTCTTTATTTCGAGCAGGGAGGTTACAAGGGTTGAGGTAGTGGGTACCTGGGAGGACTGGGAAGTGAGTGTGATTGTGGTAAATGATGTGAAATTTCCAAATAATCAATAAAAATATTATGTGGAAAGAAATGTCCTACTGAAAGTAGCAATCTAATCTTTCCATTTGATTCCAAGGCTATACACTGAAGAAATAAAAATTATCTGATAAAATTTAGTCTTAAACTAAACCTCTGAGGTAGTTTAATTACTAGATTACATTATGCTCAGAGCCTGCTGGGAAGGCTTAGGTCATTTAAGTCAAGACATGTTAAGTAGAGGAACAAGACAACAGAAGCTTTTGGCTGAAGGTGCTGCAAGAATGCTCCAGGGCAGCTGATGCCCAAGAGCCAGAGCCCTCTTAGCCTATAAGTCTGTCTCCTAGAAAGGTCTCCTTTCTTCCTCCTCAAACAGTCAAGAAATACAGCATGCATACATATAAATGCTCATAATGTGTATGACAATGAAAATAAGAAACACACATAGCACAAATAATACATGAAATACTATTCAGCTTCTAAAACACCTGTCTCCAGACTCCGGTGGAGTTCTCTGTGGAGCTGTGGTCCCCGCACTGCCTGCTGGTGGAGCCGAATGCTATGAAAGTGCTTTTTTGTGTTTAAACAGTAAAATCTTAATGTTTACTATAGTTTATGATATAAAATATCGAGGTTTTGTTTTGACTTTTAAAAAAGATTTTATTTTATGCTTATAAGTATTTTGCCTCCTAGTTGTGAGCTAGGAACTGAACCTGGGTCCTCTAGAAAAGCACTAAGTTCTCTTAGTCATTGAACAATCTCCTTAGTCCCAGAAAAGTATTTTTAAAATTTATTTATTTTTTTATTAATTACACTTTATTCACTTTGTATCCCAGTTGTAGCCCCATTCCTAGTCCCCTCCCAATCTCACCCTTTCTCCCTCATCCCCTCCCATGCCCTTCCCCCAGTCCACTGATAGGGGAAGCCCTCCTCTCCTTCCCTCTGATCCTAGTCTATCCTGTCTCATTAGGGCTGGCTGCACTGTCTTCCTTTGTGGCCTGGTAAGGCTTCTCCCCCATCAGGGGGAGGTGATCAAAGAGCCGGCCACTGAGTTCATGTCAGAGACAGCCCCTGTTCTCACTACTAGGGAACCTACCTGGACACTGAGCTGCCATGGGCTACATCTGTGCAGGGGTTCTAGGGTTATCTCCATGAATGGTCCTTGGTTGGAGTATCAGTCTCAGAAAAGACCCCTGTGCCCATAGTTCTTGGTTCTGTTGCTCTCCTTGTAGAGCTCCTGTCCTCTCCAGGTCTTTCTGTCTCCCCCTTCTTTCATAAGATTCCTTGGACTCTACCCATAGTTTGGCTATGAGTCTGAGCATCTGCTTTGATGCCCTGCAGGGTAGAGTCTTTCAGAGGCCCTCTGTGGTAGGCTCTTGTCCTGTTCTCTGTTTTCTTCCTCTTCTTAAGTCTATTTGCCTTTCTGAATGAGGATTGATCATCTTACTGAGGGTCTTCCTTCCTGCTTAGCTTCTTTAGGTGCACAGATTTTAGTATGTTTATTCTATATTATATGCCTAATATCTAATTATAAATGAGTTATACCATGTGTGTCTTTCTGCTTCTGGAATACCTCACTCGGGATGATTTTCTAGTTCCCACCATTTGCCTGCAAATTTCATGATTTCCTTGTTTATTTAATTGTTGAGTAGTATTCCATTGTATAAATGTACCACAACCCATTCCTCAGTTGAAGGATATCTGGGTTGTTTCCAGATTCTGGCTGTTAGGAATAA